CCCTGAAGAAGGATGGAAGAACGGCTTTCCTTCTTAATAAATATATGGTTTTAGATAATCTAAGAAAGCTACTTACCAGAGCCATTTGAAATAAATCCAGCTGGAAAATCATACAAATTCCTATATGTGCACGTTTCCTTAGCCAGCTGAGTGTATATGTGTGTGAGAATGAGTGATTTGGAACTTTAATACTTTAGTAATAAAGTATTACTTTAGAACAAAGAATTTTAGGAGTTAGGACTTTCACCATTCACTTTTGTTCCAAAAACCATGAAATAACTTCAAATTCCTGCCATGCTTCATGATTTGACTAAGGCAGCTCATCTTCCTCCACAGCACTGAGCTCAAAGAAATTAATATTCTAGATACTACTGCACTAAATAACCGATCATATTAATGTCCATTTATTGACTGAAAATGAAAATCACTTCCACATCACCAACAATTATCCTCACTGCTGACAGTGTGGAAGTACTTTTCATTTTCATGCTCCTCATTTCTGATAATCTTGGAACACAAGCAACATGGAGAACATGAATCAATGACTATTCACCTTCTTTCTATTCAGCTCACCAAGAAAAGTTTACTATACTAAGAATAGCATTCAGTTAATATATTGTCACCTGAGTTACCATTGATTGTAAAGTAATGTAATGCATCCTCAAACCCACTTTGCACAAAATAGATTGTTGTATTTCAGACTATACATATTTGTATGCAATTGTATGGTGGTTTGCAAATAAATAAATAAATAAATAAATAAATAAATGTTGAGAAGTAGTAATAATAAGGTACAATGTGAAGGATAATTGTGAAACATAAAGCACTGATATTTTCCAAATGTTTTGCAGACACTCTGATGTAATTCCTACATTACCTTTAAATGTAGTTGAGTTGAGAAGGCAAAAAGTAGCATTCTGGTAACTCTATATCCAGATACTTTTTTTTATAACTATCATGATGGCTGCATGTTGCTACAGCCTCTGAATTGGGTGAAATGGAAAGTAATATCTAAGAAATGCCTACAAGCAGAGACAAGTATCAGGAACAATAAGCAGAAATTCTATAAAAGTCACAGACATAGAATGCTGATTTGAGAGTAAGAGTCAAAGAGTTTGTCTTAAAACAGAGTTTCTCCTAACAGTATTTCCACTGAAACAGAAAACAGACTGCTTATAAGATAAAAAGAGAGCTGCAGATTTCAATGAAAACACTAGCTTTGCTGCAGTTTCAATAAATCAAAGCAGAATTAGAAATAAGTTGATTCAGCAATTCAAAACCAATGAAATAACATAAAGCAGACTAGAGCTAGTCTCAAAATGAGGCAAAACACTGATGTACTCAAAGCCTATGCAGAATGAGAATACCTTCATTGGGCTTCCCGTTTTTGTTTTTAGACAAAAAGAATTCACTTAAACATTAAAAAATGTGAACCTATTTTCATAGGATCTGAAAATGTTATGGAAATATTGTTTTTTTAGCAAAGCAACATAAAGCACAATCCAAAGTATTTAGTAGGCAAGGAAGTGATCTTTACGATGGCCTCCTCTCTACCCCTCTATTTCTGCTTCCCACCAAAGGATACAAAACTCCCCAACTCTTCATTCAATTCCTCCCAAAAAACCAAAAATTGCCACTTGTGACTTCGTATTTTAATCTTAAAAGTGCAGCGCTAGATTAGAACCCTGTTCTAGAGAAATATCAGAAGCACCAAAAAAGATGTAGAGGGAGAGGCAAATTGCATTCTGGATTGAAACTATGGCCTATTAGAATACGGGCACAGCTACAACTTCCACTCGCCAATCCTGGCCTCAAAATCTTTTTCTCTTCTTTTTTCCTTTTTTTTCTTTTTTCTTTTCTTTTCTTTCTCAAATTGCCTTGGGTCCTGCAATAAAAATCCTCTTATCCACATAAATGGGAAATGAAATAAATAGCTTACATTCCCTATCATTATTTTTATTGTGTTATATGTATTTGTCTGTTTAGACAAAAAAATTTTAAATCCCAACATTTCCTTATGAGTGAGCACTTTAAAGACATCAAGTGATTTTTTCCTTTTTTTTTTGCCTGAAGACCGGAGCTGGGTAATGTGCTAAGGCAGGAATTGTCCATCCACATGGGCCACTGAACAGTACTAGGCTCAGCAACTTTTAAAAATGAACCATGGAGAACTACCACTGATACAATAGGAGAAAAAGACTGTGTCCAGAAGCAGACAAAAAAATGGCATAAAACAAGCTGGGGAGTTAGCTAAGAGAGTTGTTGACAGATGACATTTTTTCAGATTTGTTATCCATGGAACAATATGTTAGGGTCTCTGTATTTATCCATGGCAGCATTCATCCATTTATAAAGAAATGGGTGAGCACCTGTTAGCTCTTTGAAATACTTTGCTGAATGTATGCTTTGATACCTAAAACGTTTGCTTGTTATATGAACACAGTCTATATTTTACATGTCACCACATGCCCACATAGAAGAATGAAAATTGCAAAATTACAAGGTAAGATAGATCAATACAATTAGTCCTTACTTAATGACCACTTTTTCAGTGACTGTTCAAACTTACATGGGTGCTGAACAACTGGTATTTATGGCCAGTATTTTAAGTTCCACCTATCACAGGATCACCATGGTCACATGATTGCAATTTGGGTGCTTTGTGACTGGCTCACAATTATGATGTCACAGCATCCTGCTATCACATGATCACAATCAGGGTATTTGGCAACTGGCTCTCAGTTATGAACCCTCAGCATGCCTTCATCACTTGATCACCATTTATGACCTTCACTGCCAGCTTCCAGCAAACAAAGTCAATGGGAAAGCCAACAGGAGGCAAAAATGGTGACTAGATGACTGAACTTAATGATGCAGTATTCACTTAACAATGGGAACGACAAACTGCTGGTACTAAGTGGCATGATCACATGATTTCCCACTTTACAATCAGCAACAGAAAATCCTGTCCCAACTGCTGTTATTAACTGAGGACTACCTGTATAAACTTAAAGTTGCTGTCCTATGAGTCAGTTTGCTTTCTAAGATGCAAAACAATATAGTTAAGCCAGTGTGTTGATGGGAAATTTCTTGTTTATTCTGCTAAATAAGGCTTAGAACAAAGTCTTTAGGGAGTTGCTAAACATTAGGCTAATCAGATTTCCCTTCTAAGCCTGGGAGTTTGCCACATGACCAGCCATTCCATATTTTTCCTAATTATCTGCAGATCATTGAATGTTTTCATTATATTGTTCTTTATATACTTATGTATGTGAAATTTGCAGAGAAAACTTTCTGCTAATCATCATTTGTGCTTTATTAGCATGTCTTAACCAATAGCTGAACATTAAAAATGCCAATTGACTAGTGTGCAGTGTTGTTTCAAACTGGCCATTGACTGAACACATTGTTCTCAATAACATATTTTCATTTTCTCTAAACAAGGGGAGAAAATTAGCATGAACTTCACATTTCTGATTTGGATTTGCCTGGCAGTTTGCACTGTTTCTTAGAATTAAAACAATTGTTAAAGCTATTGCCAAATGCATTGCAATGCTGCAAAACTTTTCTTTCCATCATGTACTAGAATTGATTTGTAGGTCATTCTGGCAAACTCAGTGAATATAACAATTCAGCAGAGCCTTTGAATATGATATGGTAGCAACAGTGAAAAGAGATCACATTGCTTTAGGGAATTCAGTCATTAAAGTTAACGTACTTCTTTGGAATCATTTTTGAAGGGTGCACTAACTTTAAGAGCCAGTACTTTGAATATATTGAGAAACTTCAACATAGCAATGCTGTCTAGGAATTAGATCTGTTGTGCAGGAAAATGAATAAACCATCACAAGGCAATATTTGTTTTAAATAAGTTCTTTTTAAGTTTGTCACAATAAACATAGGATGCTATGGGTGATGTGCATATTTTGGTTTCCCATTAAAATACAAATTTTATTCAGATAATTCCCCAGATAAAGGCATTTTTGAATTGTGACAGTTTGTTATTTACTTCCTTTTCATCTAAATTCTTGAAAAGTCTAATGCTACAGAGAACTATGAATTAGACCTTTGATTATATGATAGCAGTGCTATTAAAGTAGGAAATACATTAACAACAAACAAAAAGCCCCATGGACACAATTTCCTTCTTCAAAGTGGTAGAGATCTTTGGAAGTGATGGCAGAGTGTATCTATATCAAGCAATTGGGATACTATTTCTTTTGTCTTGTATACAGAGTAGTCATTTACTGTTGCAGAGTTACAGACATAGTATCTACCCCCCCCCCCGATAATACTGCAAGATGAAGCTCAAGATGTTCAAAATGATTGAGAGGATGCATATTCCATGAACACATAGTAAGATTAGTTTTGAGATAGAGAAATGTAATATAAGTAATTACTTTTTTAAAATAATATCATGGTGCTTAATCTAAAAACAGTATCCAATGTTAAAGCTTAAAAAGAAAGGTGCCAGAGCAAGAAAACATACAGCCTTTCCCTTTTCCCAATAAACTTCTTCCATCTAAAGCAACTGTGCCCACCCCAGCTCCAGCAATGGGGAAAAAGTCACGATATGTCACGACATATCACGTGTCATGGTGAGTTTGATATCCTGATCTAAAGATTTGGCTTTGTTACAGTCAAAAGGGAATTCTGTCATGAAATATATAGACTATATAGTTGTATTCCTTTGTACCGGCCCAACATATTGTTACAGAAACTTTTGTAAAAGTCAGAATATTCAAACTATGCATGTTGTTTTTGATCTCACATCTTTTCTAAAATTTGCTCTGTTGATAGTATATAGGTCTCTTCATATGTTACTGTGGACATTTGCAGAGGGGCAAGGGACATGTGCACCATAACTGAACAAAGAACATAAATTATGTAATTTGGATAAATCATTATTTGCATAAAGACATAAAGTTGCACATGACATTTTAATGGTTTCTGCAGGATGCCTAACTAACAGCTTTTATATTATCTTCTTTGTTCTGAAGTCCTGAAGATATATTGAAATACAATTCCCAGAATTTCCAGCTAAGAAGTTATACTCTGCAAAATATGGGAGCTGCCAAGATAGGTAAGCATATTAGGTGTAATTCAACAATCAACATAGTATTTATTTATACAAAAGCATGAGTTGAGATAAAAAAATAATCCTATAAATTATGATGTGATATACTCTTATAACAAATATTAGTTTGCTGGAATGATAACCTCTATTTTGCAAAAATATTGTACATTTGTAAGTATATTCAGAAACACATAGTAAAATATAAAATATTCATAAATGGAATTATTAGAATTTGTTGGGCATTTCTCCCTTTATTACTGCTGATCAAGAGAAAGTTACAGTGAAAAAGTCATTTTTTAAAGAAAGTTTCTCTGATGAATTTTCTTTAAATGCAATCCAAGCATTTAATATTATCATGTTAGAAAGGAAAAAAATGAACATTGACATTTATAAATAGCTAAAATTTCTGGATACCAAGAATATTTTTAAAATGGGAGCTACTGCTTAATATCTTTTGACTCTTGTGTGTGCTCTGAAACCAAGTTCCTGCCAACAACCCTTGATAATATCTCAGTATTTTTAAATATTTAAAAGAGACACTTATGAAAAATGCACTGTATTATCTGAGTCTTAATATATACTGAGAATTATGTCTAAAATCATTAATCAGTTTAACTTGTAGACAAGACTTGTTGATTCTTTTAAAAGCAGTCATAAGACAAAATCCATCTGCCAAAGGCTGGCATTATTGCTACATTTACAAATAAATCTATCCAGACCAACCTGCTCTCATACAGTAAATGCCTCTGGAAATTCATTCTGCAGTGTTTTTTATTTACGTATTTTATACTATAAAAGTTTGTTACATTTCTATTGTTATTATATTTTATATCTTACTCTTTATTTTAGGGACTCAGGAAACAATGTTTGATATTGATATCCATCCTTCCAAGGTTGGTAAAATGAGGACCCAGATTGTTGGCGGCAAATATGTTGGCTCTGTAAAACCACTTAGCGAAGCACTGTGAAGTGGCATATAAGTCTAAGTGCTATTGCTATATTCACACTAACTCTTGGGTTTAAAGATAGTAAGTTGCCTAACTTACTCCAGTGCAGTTGAAAGATGAGGAATGATTTGAAGTGTTCCTAGCTCTAAGATGAGAAGACACTTTATCCACTGTTGCTATCAGTCTAAAGTAAAATTACTAACTCTGAGTAGTAGCACAGATAAAGAGCATATTTTCTACTTATGCAAAAAGGGGAATATACTTCATCATGTTGGCATTTCTGATTGGAATGTATTTGAGCTCCAGAATCCATTGGCATGAAAAGAAATGAAATGAATGATAATGTGGTAGCAAAATGCTAAATGCCTGAATCATATACCTGAAGATGAAAGCTACACAAGCTAAAAAGGAGAATGATGCTTCCTATAAGGCACTGTATGAAAATAACATGTTAAAAACCTAACTTACCTTTAATTTAAGTTATCTTTTCTCAGCTCAGTAGTTGATTCTGGCTTATTTGATTCTTGAGTCTGTCAATAACAGTCAACCTTTCCTTCATGTAGATCCCTTGCCTGCAAATGCTGCCATAATATCAGATCTGATAAGACTCCTGGCCAAACACGATTCTATCAATATGACCTACAATGGATAAAATAGATCTTTCTATTCGCCTGTGGAAGTTAATTATCCCCAGGGGCTTCATGAACAAGATTTTGCCTTCTCTATTCTGTTCTAATCAATGTGAGTAGCAGAGTTTCAGAAATAACCCACATGATAATCCATGCCGTGAAGATGCAAGCAGAGCTAATCACTTACCTAGATTGATTGCTCATAAGCTTCACTCCTTTTTACAAGATTCACCCAGCAATAGTTATTGCTTAAGCTTGTCTGAAGAAAATTTAAATTCAGATGGTTCACTGTGACATATTTCGTGTCACATTTCCAAGCATCAAAAGATATCAAACGCCACAATTCATATCCTGGAGTAAGAAAAAGGAACAGACAAACAGTTTTCTATTTTTCTGTTTTTTTCTCCTGTCTGGCATGGCAACTGATGCTTTATAAATGCTTTGGCAACAGAGTAGACTTTTATGGACCTTACATGGATGGTCAATACATACTAATTTATACCACATGTGCTAAGTCATTCCAGGAGAGATCCTATACTTAGCTATTAGAATGTTATCCAATTTCCATAGAGGTTTCATTGACTTACATGGAATTCAATATATAAAAATGGTATAATCAGTCCCTTTTTTAGATTCCTGTACAGAGGTAGTCATAGTGAAATGTCCTACTTTGCCCCATTTCTTAATATGTTCTATGCTTGCTGTTTTTCTCTTCCCAAAAACAGAATAAAACTACAACCCTGGGAGAATTGGAAAGTTCATCTGGATTCAGACCATGGCACTTTGGAACGTGTCCATGGAGCCCGCTTGACAGCACACAACTAACCATTTCCCGTTTAGTTTCCCTTGAGAATTTCCATGCTGATATTTATCAAAATACAGTTTTTCATCAATTTGTTTTTCAGAAATAAAAACACTTTTAATGTTTTGCATCATATATCATCAACAATCTCTCCAATCTTGTTATAAAATGCAAAATCATGGCTGGGCTGGACTTATGCCCGTCCCAAGGGACTTGGCTCAACAAATTCTCATGGCATATTGAAAATAGCTTCTTCATAGTAAAATGCCCTTTTTTGTAAACAATCATGAAAAATAGAAAGATTGGCCACTTGTTTTCACAAAACAGTTTATTATCTGAGAATTTAAGGACCTCCATGGTTTAGAATTCTGGTTTCCCAGGAAATAAACTTTCATAGATCACTTAATTTATAGTGCACTAAATGTATCACTATATTTAATTAATAATGTGTTAGATCGTTACAAGAAAGCATGCAACAAAATGTTGCAGTATAAAGAATACCTGGCCAGTATGTTATCATCCAACTGATTCTTTTCACATTTTAATTTTCTGTTCCTCTTTCCCTTCTCCACAACTCTTCTCTCTTTAGCCCAATAATCACTTTCTTTATCTAGCTCAGTGTTTTTCAAACCTGGTAACTTTAAGAGATGTGGACTTCAACTCCCAGAATTTTCGCCAGCCAGCATGCCATGAACTAGCTGCTTATGCATTTCATTGCTACCATTAAGCTTTATCTGCTTTTTAAAAAAAACTTGTGCAAAAGTATAAGTAGCCCCAAAGATTCTGATGCTTCTCATTTGTTAATAGGTAGATAGGAATTCATATCCTATTATAAAAAATGCAACTGACATTATATGTATCATGCAATGCAAATGATTTGAATTAAAATCAGTACATAATTTGTATCATGGTGTAAGTAACATGAGTTACCTAAGGAATACCATTTACTGTTTGTTCACTTTGGATTCTTCCAGACCCTTTGATTATTAGTAATGGCAATTAGACACGTAGACACCTCATTCCATTCAGAACTTGTTAGCATCCAAGGGGGGGCCATCGGCTTATAGCCTCCCATTTGCAGCAATATCTGATTGCTCCCCTTGACAATCCACAAGTTCATATCAAATGCAGTGGCAGGTTCAATCCAGCAACCTTTCTTCCCCAGCTGGAACAGGATAGTGATCATGATTGTGTGCAAACTATTACTGTAGTGTTTAACTGACCAGTCACTACAGGATGCAGACCGGGACCTGCATACAGACGGCAGCAGTTTTATGAGACAGGAAGAAAGGCTAGCTGCCGATGCCATGGTCACATTGGATCAAGTACTGGAAGCAGCAGCTCTCCCTGCAGGTACTTCAGCTCAGAAAGCTGAACTCATTGTCTTGATGAGGGCCTTAGAAAAGTCAGATGGTGCAGTTAATATATTTACAGACAGTAAATTGGGGGGAGGGGAGGTTGTGTTATACATGCTCATGGGGCATTGTGGACAGACTGTGGTTTGTTCATTGCTCCTATTAAATATGGACAGGACATTTTAAGGCTATTGGATGCTGTTTTGCTCATGCATGTGAAGGCCCATGTTAGGGTTGATACTAATCATGGAAGGGGAAACGCCTTGGCCAACTGCACCTCAAAGTCTGCCGCTTCAGGTCTCCTGTCCCCTTGGTATATGGGCACGCTTGTACCCTCACATTTGCCTATGCTGGCTCCAACATATATTTCACAGGATGGGCACAGAGCCTATAGACTGGGTGCTGTTTATTGTGGACATAGGCTGGAGAAGGACGGGAAAGGCCTTCTCCCAAAACATGAATTATAGGCCCTCTTATGAAAATTGCATGCTAGCACACATTGGGGTTACAAGGCCATGGCTGAGTTTCTTATAAAGGACTATATTTGTCCTAAGATCTATAACAAGGCCCTCACAATGATCAAGCAATGTGTGATTTGTCGATGTAATGATCCTGTGGAAATGATTAAGTTCCCCTTGGAGCTGGCCAGAATCCTGCTAATTTTGGGGAGGTTGATTTTACTGAGTTGCCATGGACACGGGGTTTTAGGTTTTTGTGGGTGCTTTCTCTGGATAGAAAGAAGCCTTTCCCTGTTGTACTAACAAGGCATGTGAGGTGGTTGAGGCCCTTCTGAAGGAAATTATTCCGCTTTTTTCCTTCTCATACCAAGGCTTTGGCTCTGTCATTACCCAGCAGGTGTCTTGGACCCTGGGTATTGTTTGGCAGCTTCGTTTGGCTGTCTTTGTTCAGCTGAATAAAAACATAAAGCTTAAAGGCAACTTCTGGTTTCCTGTATTTTTTTTATCAAGCAAAACCTCAGAACCTGCACAGCAGCTCCTTTGTTTATATTGCAGTTTTAAAAACTTATTCCAGCATTTTTTCCTTGTGTTTTTATTCCAGGCTGATTCCATGCTTAATAGAGGGCATGCAAAATAAACACATACAGAAGCAATTGCTGGCACCGCTGGCATCATACAGGCCAAGGTAGAGAGAGAGTGGGTTGTGTTTGCTTCTCATTGGCTGCTCAAAACAGCTTCCTGGGGACACAGGACACCCCTGCGTGGGCTTTGTGATCCCATTTCTGGCTGGCTGGGAGAAGGACCGGAAGGTGGACGGCCGAGGTTGCTTTTTTTGGAGACCAAATAGCAGCTAAGCCTTGGCTTACATTTCACTTAGTGAATGTTTGAAGTTACAGTGAAAAGAGTGACTTACCGTTTTTCACACTTACAACCATTGCAGCATCACCTGATCAAAATTCAGACACTTGGCAACTGATTCATAGTTATGATGGTCACAGTGTCCTGGGGTCATGTGATCCCCTTTTGCGACCTTCTCACAAGGAAAGACAATAGGGAAGCCAGATTCACCTCACAACTAGGTTACTAACTTATCAGCTGCATTGATTGGCTTAACAACTGCTGCAAAAAAAGTTGTAAAATGGGCCAAAACTCACTTAACACATGTCTTGCTTAGCAATAGAAATCTTGGGCTCAGTTACAGACGTAAGCCAAGGACTACCTGTATGTAAGTTAAGCTGGTGGAGAAACTACAAATACACTGACAGCATCTTGGAGAGCCTGTCAAAAGGGAAACCGAGTCCAGAAGTCATTCAGAAGTTACTGTCCATCTTTCCAAAGTCCTCAGTGATCCCACAAATATATTTTTTTAGGAAGAACGTAAAGGACTATGTGATAGACTTTGTTATAGGGGCACCATAAATGCCTTAATGACTAGCCTCCCTCAAGTGTCCAGAAAGACAGAGACAGCGAAGGGAAGATGCCGTCACAGCACTGAGGAGGAAAGGACCACCTGGGGGATAGGGCGGGGGTGACCCGGGTGGGAATTACCCACAAAGGCCACTTGGGAGTGGTGTGATGGCTACCCTTTCAGTCTCCCTTCCAGTTCTGGTCTTTGCCAGTGCTAATTTGATCCAGTTTGGCCACATCATCAAACACTTGACCAGAAGACACGCCCTGATTTATAATGGCTACTGCTGCTACTTCGGGCTGGGTGGTTCCCAACAGTTGGTGGATGCCACCGATTGCTAAGGGGGGGTCTTGGGTGTCCTGAGAGGGGTCCTGGCTTCTCCTCAGCTAAAGGGGCACCTGTGGATCTAAGGAGCTTCTCCAGAGCCCTCCCTCATTTCTCAGATGGCACCTCTGCCCACCTCTGCTTTCTTTCGCATCAGACGGGCACCAACCAGGTAGCAGGTAGTCCTTAGTTTACAAATGTTCACTTAGTGACCTTTCAAAGTTACAGTGGATTGCAAAAAGCGACTTAGAAACATTTTTCACCTTCAGAACTAGCGTAGCATACCCTTTTGGCAATTGACTCGTATGTACGACGGTTGCAACATCCTAGAGTCACACGATCCCCATTTGAGATCTTCACTTAATCACCCTGTTGCTGACTTAAGAACTGCAGTGATCCACTTAGCCACTATGGCAAGAAAGGCCATAAAATGGGCAAAGGTCACTTAATAACTGTCTTACTTAGCAGCACAAATTTTGGTGTTAACTGTGGTCATAAGGCGAGGACTGCCTGTATCCCAGAAGGTGTGAGGGGCAGCAGGGGTGGTGGGGAGAAGCAGTCATAAAATGGGAATTTTATTTATTTGCTAAATTTATTTGCCGTCTACCTCACCGTGGGGCTGTGCTGGGCGGTTTATTGTAATTAAAAAGGAAGGCCAATGAAAAGGCTCATAAACCTAAGAAACAGAACAATGAAATAAACAAAGGAACACAAATGGGAGTAAATACATCAATACAACTTGGGAACAATATAGGTGGGAGGATTTGGGGCATCTGCCATTCAGGGGGTTTCATTAAAGGATGTCCCCCCTAAAATTCAAGAACCAGACATGGGTGGGGAGGCCTTGAGTCCCAAAGTGACCTTAAACAAGTTATTCCCTGTGAAAACCACAAAGCCACCCAGCCTTTGCTCACGTTTTAAGAGTTTGCTTTCAAAATATTGACCCAGGCAGGTGCCCAATGGCCCCGGATGCTGAGACAGACACAGTGATGTTGTTACCTTGGCCGCACAATTGTGGCTCTGTTCTTTGCTTCCAGGTGTTGTCAAGTTCATGACTGTGCTATCAGGACCTGTTGCGGCACCAAACCCAAAATGGAGAAATTTATATTAGCCTAGGAGGGATATATATTTTAAATAGTATCTTATTTCTTATGTTTCTTTACTTTTGCTTTCCTTTCTTTCTTTTTTCTTTTTTTTTCATCATTTTATCTATCTCTTAAGAATTGTAAAAGTGTGAAATGGCTTATATGGAAAAAATAGAGTTAAATTTGTAAATGTAAATGTAATTAATTTTTGAAAAAATCTTCACCAGTAAGAATATCTAGAATTTGGTGGGAGAAATAAACTAAAATAAGGATTGTAATAGGATCTATGATAAGGAAACCAGAATGACTGAATAGAAAAGAAATATTATACTGATATGATTATTATTATTAGGAATATTGGGAAAAAAGTATATATTCATTTGTTATTTATCAAAACAATAAGAACTGTATTAATGTCTGCAAAAGAGGATATTTTGGGGAAAGAGGAAATCAACTAAAATTATTATGTGGAATATGGATTATAGAAATTAATTATTAATGATTATTTTACAAATGTAACCCAGACAACACACTGTTCATCAATTATTAAGCGATTTATGTTTTTTAAAAAATCAATAAAATATATTACAACAAAAAAATGCAGTTTACAGAATCAGCATATTGCCCCCAACAATCTGGATCCTCATTTTACTAACCTCGGAATGATGGAATGATGGAAGGCTGAGTCAACCGGTCAATATTGAACTCTTAGAAGTGAGCAGAGAGTTAGCCTGCAGTACTGCATTCTAACCACTGTGCCACCACAGCTCTTATTAGTAATCCTTCTGCCTCATAATACAAACAATGGTCAAATATTAGTTTTCATGAAATTCATTTTTAAATATTTACCACTTCAGATTCCAAAACAAATTAAACAATGATTTACAAACTGTAGATGATGAGAGAAAGAATAATTTCAAGATGTCCAAACAGAATCAGATTTTCTTAGAATTCTAATTTAGAAGAATGTAGCGGCCCAAATAGCATGATGCATTTCTTCCCAAGTTTTCCATATAAGGGAAACTTCAATATGAGATGGAGGAGGAGTGCTCATCTAAGACAGACAATGTTTGCAACTAATTGGGATAAAAAAGCCCACAAGGAGTCTCCAATCATAGAGATGTAGGAGAGGGACGTGAATGCAGTCTGCAAGATATTACTTCAGTCTTCAGTTCTTCTAACTTTCTCTCCTAAAAATGGCAGAGAGAAACAGAGAAAACAGTGGAGGAGATGTGACCTTTAAGTATGCTTGTCCTCCAGATGCCAGGTGTTCAAGCCATTCTAACCCATAAGCATCCCCGTCATTTCTGTGATTTTGGTAGCAACTGGGAGAAAATAAATAATATACTGTAGATTTCTTATTTAAGGCAAAATCTATGCAATGCAATTTTTATAACAGCTGTTCTTAAAATCTGAGTATGAAGAAACTTTGCCTGAGTTCTGAATCTGGAATGTCACATGTTTGTAATCAGATATAAATTAGGGACATTGCTCCAAATACCCCAAGGCATGAATCAGCTTTCAAAATGCAGTAACTGTTACTATCTTGAATTTTGGGGACAAATTCCTCAAAAATAGCTGTATCTAACCTCTGTATCTTCCAGTTGTCAATCAAATGTCTTCTTCAGCTTTGTTCCAAAAGATCTTTTAACTGGGGATAAAAAGAGTCATACATACATACATACAAAGCAATTCTCTAGCTGCTGTCCCAATCTCTTTTTCATCTGAATAACATTTATAAATATGTTGGCAGCTGCTGGAAATGTGTTAAATTTTACTCTTAATGTCAAGCATCCTCCTTCAACTTGTCTTATGTTTTGCCCTTTGGTCTCAAGTTGCTTTTCTGATATGCTTCATGGTTCCTAGTTCCAAATGTTATCCTAACATGGGTTCACAAGAAAATAAACTTAAACCATGGAGCCATGTTTGCTCATTTAAAAACTTTCACTGATAAGCATATGGAATGTAGACAAAAATTCAAGCCAAGTTTCTTATAAAGCTAAATAGTTCTATTTATTCTCCTTATTTATTCAAATTGAGTGTGAGGTACTCGAAGAAGAGAAGTTTGTTCATAAAGTTTTCCAGGCAGATGCACATGATGTCTTCCCTAATCTTTTTTATAGAATTAGAAAGTTTTTAAGCTTTTGATTTGCTACCTTCTACTTGTAGATCATTCATTTGTACTGTCATCACATAATTCCTCTTATGTTAACAGTTCCCTTGCTTGCCTATAAGCCAAATGTATGAACTTGTGATCAAGTTTGTTCCTGTTTTTGAGGAATAAATGTAGTTCTAGAAATCAATGATCCAGAAATCCAGTCCTTGATTCAGTGGGTCTCACATGAGAAACTAAAACACCTTTCTTTTCAGCATATTTCACTCTCCAAAGCTGCTTTGCTGCTGATACCTTCAGACTCCTTCTATCCTCTCTCAGCACACATTTTTCTTCTCTTTAAAATACTATTATACATGGTGGAAAGCCCAACGCTCCCTTCGGCCTCATCCAATTAATATTGGATGAATAGTATATTATAATACCAGTTCATGTCTTACTTTACTTTCCCTGTCATAATTAAAAAAAAAGATTGCAGAAGCAATACACGCCAATTCACTGGGGTGATTGCTCTGCCGGAACATTTGGACAGAATTCATCACCAGTTGACTTCACATATTTGTTGCCAGGTCATCTCATTTCAGATTCCAGTGAATCTGACTCAGATAATTAATTGTGTTGTTAATTGCAGCTGCCATAGTATTGTAATGACTTTTAATGGCATTACTATCAGAGCAGAAATGCAGGATTTGTCCAGACATTTATTAATTCAGCGTTTAATAATGGGTGTCCAGAATCATCCAGGAAAACTTGTCTATGACTAGTTTGTTCCTACAATCCAATATTTGAAATCCATTGTTTCTGCTTCTGAACCTAAAGATCTGCCCAGCAGATGGTTTGGATTATAAGGCCAGTAATCCCTTGTCAGAGGTCATGATGCTGAGCTGATACGAATCAGTCCAAAATATCCAGAGTAGTGGCAATTTATCAGGGAAACTGGATAAGTGCCTCTCCTTCCTGCTGCAGGCCAAATAATTTATAGATTCCCTGTAGAGCTCTTAATGAGCACCATGGCTTTCCATGACCCCTGATGCTACAACCCATGAGACTGTTTAAAATATAAATCCTTTCCCCTTTTTTCTTGTTATGTTAATAACGGAAAAATGGAAACACAACTGTTCGGTCAGGTTAAAGCTCAGTTTAAACAGAAAGGTGGGATCAGCTTAGGTAGGGTGTCCCAGATAGACTGGGCTCCTTTCTATTGTAGAAGCAACCCAGAATTCTCTGACAAATACTGCAGAATATACATGAAGATATGAGGGCCCTCAGGGGTGATGGTGCTACTATTGAAATGGAAGCAATTTCCCTTCCAGCAGCCCATGCACAGAGCCAGTGAATCACTCTTGAAAATACAGTAAGACAGGCACATCTTGAGAAGGTAACAGTAGCAGGTTATCTTTTCTGTTTTGTATTTGGGAAAAGATTGAGAGACGGGAGTAGAAAATGAAGGATATGAGAAATTGACTATTGGGCACACAATGATGGGATCTCTCTAAATTACAGATAAATTTCTAGTGCTGTTCACTTTCAGCTTTTAGGTGCAGTTGTAGATGGTGGGAAATTTCAGCTTGGTGTGCCTATTTCTTTGAAAATTTAGATAGGCACAAAGAAAATCTGAAGCACTCGCCCCTCCCTTCTCTTTCTTTTTGCCACTCCTAATCAGCAGTTTTTAGATTTGTGCTTCATAAATTCTAAGTTTACCATCTTGTTTGCACAAAGCTGAGGATAGATGATTTTCAGGAAAGGAAGAAACAGATCAAATATTTTGTAATGGATAAAACAAAAGAGGCTGATTAGCAATTGCTAGCTCTGAAGTATACCACCACTTTCTTCTTTAGGGAAGAAAGTGGGACAAGAACTACCTTTCCAAGCAATTCTCATAAAGAAGTGAAGAGGGAAATGCAAACTTTCTTCCTTCAGAAGCTTAATAATAATAATAATAATAACAACAACAACAACATCCACATCTGCCTGTTCCAGGTCCTGGGTAAGGACTCAATAGGTAGACAAAATGCCAAATCTAGTCTGAACATCTAGCTGACTGTGCGATGATCCATAATAATAATAATAATAATAGTAGTAATAATAATAATAATAAAGTTGGAAGGGACCTTGGAGGTCATCTAGTCCAACCCCCTGCTCAGGCAGACAATCCCTATACCATTTCAGACAGTGCAGTCTCTTCTTAAAAACTTCCAGTGTTGGAGCATTCACCGCTTCTGGAGGCAGGTTGTTCCACTGGTTAATTGTTCTAACTGTCAGGAAGTTTCTCCTTAGTTCTAGGCTGCTTCTCTCCTTGATTAGTTTCCATCTGTTGCTTCTTGTCCTGCCTTCAAGCACTTTGGAGAATAGCTTGACTCCCTCTTCTTTGTGGCAGCCCCTGAGATATTGGAACATTGCTATCATGTCCCCCCTCGTCCTTCTCTTCATTAAATTAGACATACCCAATTCCAGCAACCGTTCCTTATATGTTTTAGCCTCCAGTCCCCTCATCATCTTTGTTGCTCTTCTCTGTACTCTTTCTAGAGTCTCAGCATCTTTTTTACATTGTGGTGACCAAAACTGGATGCAGTATTCCAAGTGTGGCCTTACCAAGGCATTGTAAAGTGGTATTAATACTTCACATGATCTTGATTCTATCCCTCTGTTAATGCAGCCTAGCATTGCATTGGCATTTTTGGCAGCTGCAGCACACTGCTGGCTCATATTTAAGTGATTGTCTACTAGGACTCCGAGATCCCTCTCACAGTTACTACTGTTGAGCAAGGTACCCCCTAAACTATATCTGTGCATTTGGTTTTTCTTGCCTAAATGTAGAACCTTACTTTTTTCACCACTGAATTTCATTTTGTTGGATAGTGCCCAGTGTTCAAGTCTGTCCAGGTCCTCCTGTATCTTAATCCTATCTTCTGGACTGTTGGCTATTCCTACCAGCTTGGTGTTGTCTGCAAATTTGATGAGGAAAGGAGGAACTGGAAATTAAGGAGAAACTTCCTAACAGTGAGAACCAGGGCTTTTTTTTTTATCATAGAACACTCAGAACAGAGTTCCGGCACCTTTTTTGGATGGAACCTTGTAGGGTAGGCAAGGCGGGTTGTATGACATGTGTGAGTTCAGCACTTTTTTTTTTTTTTTTACAAAAAAAGCACTGGTGAGAACACTTAATCAGTGGAACAGCTTGCCTTCAGAAGTTGTGGGTGCTCCATCACTGGAGTTGTTGTTGTTGTTGTTATTAAAAAAAGACTGGATAACAACCTGTCTGAAATGGTGTAGGATCTTCTGCTTGAGCAGGGGGTTGGACTAGAAGACCTCCAAGGTTCCTTCCAGCTCTATTCTGGTTGATTGATGGGACAGGCAGATATCTTCAGGGAGAAGTGATCTTGCAAATAGTGGTTCCATATCACATAAGACCAGCATCAAGAGCTGCATTATCACATGAGCACAAGACTCATCAGACTTTATAGAATCATAGCGACTATTTAAACTGAAGATGGCAGTTATTTGCTCAATTTGGAGAAATCTAGATTAAGGTATCCCTGACAGAGGACTGCCAAAAGGAAAAGTCCATTAATTATCTGGGTAATTAGCCCACTTATTCTTAGGAATTTTTTTTATAACATTTATTCAGATACTGCCTTCCTACAATTGATGTCTTTCCTACTAGCCAAAATCTTTTTTAAATGGCTTTGATATTAGTGTTCCATATTATAAATGTTATAAAATGTACAGTAGCTACTACTTTATATGCAGTTAGGGGGGCAGGAAAGTCAGTTGGAA